TTATGACCGAAGAGATCGCCGGCGATCAGTGACGGCAGCAACGATGTCTGCCATGGACGTCGGCAACCTGAACTTCAGTCCACCTAAGAAGAAGAAGAAGAAGAGGGAAGAAGGAAAAAAAGAGAGAGAAAGAAAAAGGAAGAAAAAAAGAAAAAAAAGCATTGGGCTGGATTTTTTTTTATTAAATTTTTGGTGGGATTGCATTTTTTTCTCTTTGGGCTTGTGGTTGCCTTTTGGAACCAAAAATTTCCATTCTATTTAAGTTTCCATTATTCTTTGGGCTTGCTTGGTTTTTTCATGAATATGCCTGTATTTTTGTTTTGGACTTGAATAGTCCGGCCCAAGTCCTAAGATGATGGCCCAATTTTGTTTCTGGATTCTGCCCAAAATTATACTATTTATATTCAGTCTAAAATAGAAACTGGATTTTGCAATTAGTCTCCCAATCTTTTGAGTAATTTTACTGTGGCCTAAAGAATTTTAATTGCTTTCGTTTAGGCCTATAATTTAATTACATTTTGGTCCATAAACTTTATCTTCATTTAATTTTGACCCATAATGTTTTGAAAAATTATTATTTGACCCTAAAAACTTTCCAATTTTTACAATTTAGTCCCTAATAGTTTTTGATTTTTCAATTATAATTGTTTCCTTCCTTTAGTTGTTAATTGTACTTCTCTTGCATGCATTTAAATTGTAAATTTTGAGTGTTTTGAGTTTGTTTACATTTTTTAACATAATAATGTGAATCTAGTACTTATTATCTTTAATTTTAAGTGAATTGGTACCATAATCCTTTTGTTAATTTTGAGTATAGATAGGGTGACTTTATCTCATTTAGTCACTATTTCAAAAGGGAGGTACCCTTATTGCCCTTAATTTTGATTATATGTTCTTATCTGCTCCTACATACTCCTATATGTTGATATGTTTTTACATGATTTTTGTTATTTATTTAATTCAAATGCTTATTCAATTTTTTTAATGTTTGTTTAGTTAATTTTGTAATTATTTGGGAGGTGCTTAAATACCTCAAGATGTAATAGATAGGTAATAATTTTATTTATTTTTACAAAATTATAATTAGATAGACAAATGTAATAGATAGGATAGATTGATTTATTTTATAATATTTTCTCCCATTTTACATTGTAGTTTTGTCTCAGCTGTAATAGATAGATTTTGTGTGTTTATGTGACTTATGTGCTTATATGTTTTATTCGCTTTTTTTTTATAGAATTTTTGTATCTAGATATTATACTTATGTATTATGTGCTATGTGCTCTTACATGTTTATTTGTTTTAATTCATGTTTTATTTGTTTTATTATGTATTATGAATGCCTGACGTCACCATACTAGTCCTAACGCGAGTTGTGGCTTCTCCCTCCACTTTCCTGCTAATCCAATGCTAATGAGAATTTCTAAAATGGAGTTAGTCCAACGTTAGGCCCTAGCCCTAAGATTGTCTACACATTAGATTCATCCCTTGTGTGTCATTCATTGCATTTTCATGCATATTTCTTATTTTAGGCCATTTTTCAAATTTGCATGATATTTTTTCTTATATTATTCCCTTACCCTCTATATGTGTGAACCATATCATTTAGATTCACATTTTATTTAGAAAATTAGAAGAAATAAGCTTGTTCATCTGTTTGTTTACATTAGAGGGTCACTTTTTGAATATGAAAAATGGGTGATTTAATATCCCATTAACCCTTTTATAAGAAAATGGGTAAACTATAAAAAAACCCCTGTGGTAAACCTAATATACAGAAAAGCCCCCCATAGTTTTAAAATATACAACATGACACTCCGTACTTTGAACTAAATTGTAAAGGTGACGGAATCCGTTAAACTTAACGGAAATGACTTATTAAAACCTAAAAAAAAAATTTTATACCTAATTTTAAAAATATACCTATTCTACCCCTTAACTCTTAATTCTCTCTATCTAGAGAATAAAACAAATGATTTTTTGAACTGTCTTTTGCTTAATTATATTAGGGCATTCTGATCATTTCATCTATTTCCGTTAAGTTTAATGAATTTCGTTACCTTTACAATTTAGTTTAAAGTACGGGGTGTCGTGTTGTATATTTTAAAATCACGGGGGGCTTTTCTATATATTAGATTTATCACAGGGGACTTTTTTATTTTTTACCCTAAGAAAATTATGTCAAGAGTTTTTGTCTTTCGTACTGATTATGTTGCATCCCAATCTTTTGGTCATGTATAATTCTATATATACATTATAAATCCTATTTCTTTTGAGTCCCATTTTTGCATACTCGTGACCTCTTAAAGAAATTATTTTGGATTTTGCAATTAATACAATTGGTACCAATTAAACCTTGAATGGACATTTTGCCCCTTTTGATATCTTTTTTAAGTTTAGATTTGCATCTATATATGAAACGTCCAAACGTAATAAACTTAAGAGCTAATTAGGAAAATCTTGACTAAATCTCGCAATTAATTTAGAGTAAGTTGAAAGGGTGCCTTAGATTTGAACCAATTGAAACTTTGTCTTTCCTTTCTTAATCGTGATTTTCAAAATTATTTTCTCTTATTTTCAAAGACTTGAAATTGTCGAAAAGGATTTTATTTTATTTTTTATTTTATTAAAAATATTTTTGGATGACTTGGTACACCTAAACTCTATATCAAGTGGTGACTTCTATTCTCTTAAAAGCCCATTTTAAACAAAAATTTGGGTCCAAACTATCACATTCTTAAAATCCCATTTAAGGCCTTTTTTGCACTTATATTTTTAAATAAAAAAATACATCTTTTTGTAAATAAACCCTTTCATCGCGGAAAATGGGGCGCGACAAGTTTTTTTTTTTTTTTTTTTTTTTTTTTTTTTTGCATCATGGCTTATGGTTACAATTATGGGATTTTGTTTGTGGTAAATCCTTATCCCCGAAATGAGAATACCCTTTTATTCATTTTAAGCTCGTAATGCAAATCTATCCATCTACTTTCCCATTTCAACCAGCAGTTGCTGCCATTCCTCCACTTTCCAATTGCTATCCGAAATCCATCACTCGTCTGAACCCAAAACAAGGTATCAGACATTCAGGTTTATCTTTCTGTCTTGCTCTCTCTGATGCGCACACATAGATATTCGCCCATGTGAACTACTGTCCTCCTCTTGAGTCCTCCAAAAAGACGAGTTTGGACAGATCTAAAACCATTATAAACCCTATAATCCCAAATCTGTATATTCTTGTACAGAAAAGTATGAGCATGTCAAAAAATTCATTGGATGTTTTAGCGTGCCAAAGATTTAAGATATAAAATATCAATATACTTATGTAACTAGGTGGTATATGCATGAACTTGAAAGGGACTATAAGTTGCTAACCAAAATCCCAATTCATTACCTGCGGATACTATGAGCTTCTATTGTACGTGACAGTGTTCTGCTTAGGAGCTTAATTATGATGCATCTTGTGCTACTACCTCAAATTCTTTAAGGATAAGATCTTTTGTTGTTAGATTCAAAAAAAGAAAAAGAAAAAGAAAAGATCTTTTGTTGTTACTTTCAGAATTGAAATTATGTTCAGCATTTCTGATAGGTAAGTTTATTGTTCTACAGTAGGTCCTGTTGAATATGACAATACAGAGTCGCACCAGCAAGCTGCTCGGTATCCTCGCGCAAATAAGTTAAAAAGCATGCAGGAAATTTATGCTCAAACTAACCTCATATGTCAACATTTTCAGCCTGGCCAGATGTCAGAACGTAGAGGTGAACCCAAGGAAAGAACAAATGTTGTTGATACTGGTATATTTTTCACTCTGCCATACTTAGAATTTTGCTTTTGTTAATTGTTACTTGTTAATATTCCAACTAAAAAGATCTAGTTCTTCTATTCTGCTATGACAAGGGATTAGTCAACTTGTTGGTCTTACAGATACCATATTGACTGCAGTCTGAGATATTTTCTGAAATCTAAACAGAAAATCGAGTAAGAAGAGGTAGAGGTAAAAGATTTAAGGATGACAGAGACTTTTCTATAATGAACGAAGAATCACTTGATCATAATGGTTTGTGTATAGAAAATGGGAAAGAAACAAATACAAAATAAATTAACTATCGATTTCTATTATTTCAATGCCTTGAGACCATATGATTTCAAGCTCATTTAAAATCATCTTAATGGAATTGAAGGAGTGAATTCATGTGATAGCCTCCCTCAATCACAATTTTCTTTTGTAAAGTTTACTTGGTTGCCTTTTTGTAAAGTGTTGATATTAAAGTATGATTTGCTGATAATTGATAACAGTAGTTGGCATAAAAAGTCAATTGCAAATTATCTTGGATGGAAGAGAAACAAACCACACTAATTCGTGTATTTTGTCAATGGTGGAGATCATGAAGAAGGTGTGACCTCCAGACACCCAAGAAAGAACCAAATCAAGTCACGTCGCCATTCAACGAGAAGTAGAAAAAGCAAAGCTTTAACTGATACAACTGATTCTGATGTTAGCCCCCACTCCAAGTTTGTGGGAAACTTCAGGGACCAGTAGAGTCTGATAATTTGAGTGCTGAAGAAGAAATTAAAATTGTTGGAGAGTCTTTTATTGAGGACGACATCAATGCCTATCCTCTTCGAACTAAAAGCAGGAGAAGCAGAAGAATGGTCAATAGAAGTGGTTCTGAAGTTTGTATTCCAAGAAAAAGAGTTCGACGGCAACCAAGGAGACCCCTGAATTTCGGCACTTCAATCACATCAGAAGGAGTTTTAAGCTCCAGGCAATTTTATCGCTACATGGAGTACGTTTTCTAGTTTGATGTTTTTAAAGTTGTACCATGATCCTATTTCAAAACCTTACTTGTGTTAAAAGCATTGCATTATGCAGCCACATATGGAGTGAGGTTTCTGCAGAGAAGCGAAACTCAATTGCATACATGGATTGCTTGTGGTTTAACACATACGCAGAAAATAAATGGAAGGAAATGGTGTTAAAATGGATAGAGAGGGTAGATATATTTTCAAAAAAATATGTTCTGGTTCCCATTGTTCTGTGGTAGGTCTCTTATATTATGCAGCGGGTTTAGTTAGTTAACATATTTTCTTTCGGAGTATCTTGTTCATCAAGATTGTACTTGTCAGGTCTCATTGGAATCTTCTGATCTTCTACCATTTCTGTGATAGCCTGCAATCAGAAAGCAGCACTCCCTGCATGATATTGTTGGATTGGCTGCACATGACAGATCCTTAGAGGCTTGAACCTTTAATTAGAAAGTATTTGATCAATCAATTGCTTGTTTTATTATTGGTCTCAAAAAGTTGGCGCTTGGTGCCTTATTTTCTCTTATAATGCTCTGTTGTTTTTCTCCTCCATAGGTTTGTTATGGACATATATAAAAATGAGAAGAGGCCAGAAACCAAAGAATTGATTCGTAAAATTCCTCTTTTGGTTCCTAGTGTGAGTTACAATTATCAGCTTATTTTAATTTTCAGTTGGATTCTTATACTGAAAAAGACGCAATGATTATGTTTTTTTTCTTTTTTTTTCCCAGATTCCTCAGCAGATAGATGATAAAAAATGTGGGTATTTTGTCCTTTACTATATTTATTTGTTCATAAAGAATGCTCCTGAGATGTTTAGCATCGACGAGGGCTACCCTTACTTTGTGAGCCCTCTTCGTTTATCTTTTTAAAGAAAAAGTTTCTTTTAACCTATATAATAATTGGTATTTTCTCTCATACATTGTAGATGACAGAAGACTGGTTCACTCTTGAAGAGCTCGACGGCTTCTATAAAACACTCGAATCAGTTCGGGCCGACACTACAAGCTCAGATGAATAGATTGTACAGGTGCATCACCTTCTTGTATTGTGCAGCAGTCTGTAATATAGGTTGCATCCAGGACTCTTGAAAAAGTAGTAGTGTAAGCAGAAAAAACAATTGATGTGTGATGCAGTTGCCAAAAACAAGATCTGAGTTGAGTTGCGACGGCCTGAGCGTGCTGAGAGGGAGCGAGCTGGCGAGCTGGGCTGGTGAGCTGCCAAAGACGCAATCCGAACTGAGCTGCTACGAACAGAACTGGCTGAATGCAGCCGAGCTGAGAGGGAAAAACCGAACAGACTATCCTACGGAGAAAGAACAACGGCAGGACTAGAGTTCCCGGAATAGCTCCGACGATCAAGTCAGTAGAGCTTAAGAATAAGGCAATAGTATGAAGGGTACTGTAGATGGCGTACCTTGAGTTGTCGCGTAGTGCTATATTTATAGGTTTAACGGGTAGCAGTTTCCAAATGGGTGTCGGAGTCCCCTTAGGGTTCGGAGTCTTTCTAGAGTTTCAAACTACTGCCCCTAAAGGTTCGGAGGCGGCGGCCCATTTGGCCCACTCCATAAAGAGGCGACGGTCGTGGCCGAGCTGATTTCTCTCTATACCGAGTTGAGGTGTCCGAGCTGTACGATCTCTATTGCCGACCTCGCTTGTGACAGAGCCGAGCTGACATGTGTCATACGTGAATTCGTTGGCCGAGCTGACAGGTCATCATGCCCGAACTGACACGTGGCTACTGGAAAATTTGCCCTACTACACTAGCCCCCCTTTGAGTCCAGAGTCATCGAAAAGTCGCATGAGTCTGGACCAAGTTTCTTGGCGAAGAGTCAGTTCGGTGTGGGACTCATGATTGCGGCCCTTGCTCGAGTAACTTGTAAGACCGAATTGAGTAGAACCAGTTCGTTTTTTGTATGAACTCCTTCTTTGTAAATAGACTCTTGTGGACTGAATAGACTTTTGTTTCTTCTATACTTAGCAAAATTTTTTATTCATGTCTTTCTTATTATGCTGTTGAAATACACTTGCATGAACAGTCCCTGAGCTAGCGCGCGAACTGACTTCCCACTTATGCAAAATAGTTCAGATATTTGCATGAAAAGATAGGACCATGCGCGACCAAACAACTCAGGTCATGTATAGACAGAATGAGTGAGTTTTAATGAAAGAGCCTCATACTCGGACTCGTTATTGGAGGCCCTGAAGTCAAACCTCAAGGCGCAAGCCAATTCTTTCCCCGTAGGGTTGATTAGGAGAGGTCCGACTCCACACCCTTGTTTGATGCTCTATCAATATACGATGTCTAGGTTGGGATGACCTGTCCAGCAACCTCATTGGTTTCTTCGGCCTGTACAGCCTCTCTGACCTGTTTGGCCTCAATTGTGTCTCTGGTCAGCTCGGTCTCGTCGGCTCTTGCGGCCCGTATGACCTCGGCAACTTTTTCGGCCTGCTCGGCCTCAGCTGTGTCTCCGGTCAGATTGGTCTCGTCGGCTCTTACGGCTCGTATGACCTCGGCAACTTCCCCGACCTGCTCGGCCACAGCTGCGTCTCTAGCTAGCTCGGCCTCAGCGGCTCTTGCGACGCATATGACCTCGGCAACTTCTCCAACCTGCTCGGTCGCAGTTGCGTTTCTGGCCAGCTCGGCCTCAACTGCGTCTCCGGTCAGCTCGGCCTCGGCGACTCTTGCGGTCTGTACGACCTCGGCATTTTCTCCGGCCTGTTCGGTCTCGGCAGCTTCTTCGACCTGCTTGGCCTCAGCTGCGTCTCCGGTCAGCTCGGCCTCGGCGACTTTTGTGGCTTGTACGACCTCGGCAGTTTCTCCGGCCTGTTCGATCTCCTGCTGCCCAAAGAGAATACCTTTCGCTATGAAATCAACCAGTACCTGGGATCCGATGGCTATCCGAGACTGGTAACCCAAGTCATACTCAGACAACTCCACAGCCCCCTTGGCCATTCTCCCTGACATGTTCAGTGATGCGACTGCCGATAGCACGATCCGAACTGAGCAGTCTCGAACTGCGCGAATTGGTTATAAGTGAACTAGTACTAGTGGGGTGAGCGAACTGACCTGCAAAAGGCACGAACTACGGGACTTGTATTGTCTGGTTGAACTATATTTATAGGGTTCTTGGTAGTAGTTTCTTTATAGGATTATGAGCCCTGTTAGAAATGGACTCCTCCTTGGATTATGTCTACTGGCCCTGAAAGACTCGAGAGTTTTGGCCACTAAGCCCATCCAGTTGGGAGGCGGTGGCTTTGTCCGAACTGGCTCTTGTAAAGGCCCGAGCTGACTGGTACGAACTGCCTATGCCCGAACTGACACATGACATTGGCGAATTGGTTCCTCTGCGACTGGAGACCGAACGGAAGAGTCGGCAGGTCATTACTCAGCTGGAGGCCGAACTGAACGGTCAGCAGGTCATTACTCGACTAGATGCCGAACAGAGGAATTCTGCTCTCTATGTTTGGAGGCCGAACAGAAGAAATTATATCATCTCCATTTTGATTTTGAGGCTGAACAAAGAAGTTCTATCATCTCTATTTTGAGGCCGAACAGAGAAGTTCTGCCATCTCTGGCCTCGTAGTTTCTCCTGTTCACCCTTCAAACGATTAGCTTCCACTGCATTAGCCTTCTCGTGAGTTCGGTCCAACATCTCCCGAACTGATTTGGGAGGTTTCTCCACGAACTCGGTCTATAGTTTCTGTTTGCATAGTCCATTGATGAAGGCGGCCATGACAACCTTATCGTCCCGATCCCGGACCTGGAGGGACTCGGACCATGTACTCACGGAGCGATTCCTCGGGCCTTTGCTGAACTGTAATCAGGTGAGCAGTACTCTTGGAAAGGCTCGTGAAGACACGAACTGCGCTGCGAACAGCCGTGCGAGCTTGCCGAAGGACCGAACTGACCTGGGAGGCAATCCCTGAAACCACTGACGGGTCTTCCCCTCCAGGAACATCGGGAAGGTCATGCACCTCACGGCATCGGCAGCCGTTTGCAGGCGCATCTGTGTCTGGAATGCGAACAAGTGGTCTTCTAGATCCGTGGTCGCATCGTAGGACTTCATGGAAGGTATCTTGAACTTCGCTGGCAGCGGATAATCTTTGATGTCTGGTATGAAGGGAGAAGTTGTGTACCTGTCCACCTCTGGATCCGACAACAGATCCAGTTCATCCTGCTTCGGGTATTCCTCTTTCTTGGGAGGAAGCTCCATCCGCGGGAGCCTTGGGATGGGCTCCAGGTGATCAGTTCGAGAGTTCTTGTGGGAGGGTTCTAGAACCTCGATTTGCTCACGCGTGAGCTTCTTGCGGGCTCCTCTTTGGTCGGGGGCTAGGGCTCCATGTTCTAGATTCCAACTGCCCAGTTCCGGTTGTCCTCCGTGCCTTGTGTTCCTGGTTGGGATGATCTCCGGATTGTCCCTTCAGGTAGTTCACAATGGCTTCGAAGATAGGCAGATTCGCCACCACCGATTGCACCAGCTGCTCTACGGGGATCCGTGAGAGTTCAATCCTTTCGTCCTCCAAAATTGGATCTTGACGGGGGTGCGGTGGATCACTCTGTTCATTCCCCTTAGATCTGTCCACATTCCTCTGGGATCTAGTCTTCGGCATGTTTTCGCAAAAGAGAGTACTTGCTTCCCACAGACGGCGCCAATTGATGCGGCTGCCAAAAATAAGATCTGAGTTGAGCTGCGACGGGCTGAGCGAGCTGAGAGGGAGCGAGCTGGCGAGCTGGACTGGTGAGCTGCCAAGGACGCAACCCAAGCTGAGCTGCTACGAACAGAGCTGGCTGAGTGCAGCTGAGTTGAGAGGGGAAAATCGAACAGACTATCCTACGGAGAAAGAACAACGGCGGGACTAGAGTCCCGAAATAGCTCCGATGATCAAGTCAGTAAAGTTTAAGAATAAGGCAATAGTATGGAGGGTACTGTAGATGGCGTACCTTGAGTTGTCGCGTAGTGCTATATTTATAGGTTTAACGGGTAGTAGTTTCCATATGGGAGTCGGAGTCCCCTTAGAGTTCGGAGTCTTTCTAGGGTTTCATACTACTGCCCCTAAAGGTTCGGAGGCGGCGGCCCATTTGTCCCACTCCATAAAGAGGCGACGGCCGTGGCCAAGCTGATTTCTCTCTATACCGAACTGAGGTGTCCGAGCTGTACGATCTCTATTGCCGACCTCGCTTGTGACAGAGCCGAGCTGACATGTGTCATACGTGGATTCGTTGGCCGAGCTGACAGGTCATCATGCCCTAACTGACACGTGGCTACTGGGAAATTTGTCCTACTACAGTGTGATTAGTGATAACTAACAAAGGTCCACTTTGGGGCTACATGTACGAGCGGCAAACTTGATTGTTACATTCTGGGAACTCATTCAGTTTCGCTTAGGTTCTTCTTTTAAACAGAAAATAGGTTTTTTGTTTTTTCTTGTACTTGATAAACCATTGTATTGTCAAGTTTTGTTTGTACTTGATCAACTACTTATAAGTTTTCTTGTACTCATTTCAGATTTCTCTTTGCTTTCATAAGACTTGTGCGGTCATGTTGCATTTCTCCAACTACCCCGTGTTCGAATTATTGCTTGTGCTTTTGTTTTGGCCTTTCAACTTCCAAGATTAACCTAGACACTTTTTTAATTTGTCAAAAATTTAACATGTCAATTTTGACATTAAGGGATTCTTGTGGTTTTGCACAATTTTAGTAGATGTTAGTTGAATCTTAACAAATTGAATGCTAGCTAACTAATCATTTCATACGTAAATACTAGTGGGGGACTCTATGTGTGTGCATATTTTAGAAAAAAAAATAATGAAAAAAAATGTATAACAACAGGTTAGTTGCAGCAAAGGAATTAATTATGGATTTTTTATATTGAAGTTGGTATAAAGATTTGAGATAAATGTCTTATCATACTATATATGAAGCGAGAGCGAGGGGTTTGGCATAAACAAATTATGTCATTTAATGTAT